CTTGGATGAAGGTACCTATGGACACATCTGGGAGGCGAGTTCCAGAATTCACCTGTCTGGTTCCGGTGCACACAGGCGCCCCTACCTTTGGGTCAGATGTAGTCCTGGGCCTGATGAATGAGACTGGAGAGGGAAATCTCATTCTTTACCTCGACAAGAAGCTACATCTCAATATGTTAGCATATGACCCCCCTGAACAGAAGTGTTTTGTGAACAGGTGGGCACCACGGCAGTTGCCACGATATCCAGGTAGTCACAGCAGACTGGTGCTCACCCCTAACAACTCACTTTGTTGACACAACTGTGTTGCTGGGGAGAACAGCACCCTTCTCAGAAGGAACCTGGTTCTCCCGCAATGCAGTTGTACCAGATCACACCAAGGTGAATGTTTGGGCCTAACAGATCTGTGTCCTGATCAGCCAAATCAGCAGCAGGTGTCGATTGCCTCAGGAGGAAAATTGCAGTTCCCTCCCATGCAACCACCTGAGAGGGGAGGTGTGATAATTGTGCGCACAGATATGGACAATAACAACCATAATTTAGATCATACTCTGCAAATATCATTCTCTCCCCCTGTTCACACAGGCGCCACTACCTTTGGGCCAGATGTAGTCCTAGGCCTGAGGAAGGAGATGGGAGGGGAAATCTCCTCCTCCTCTACCTCGACAAGAAGCTACATATCAATATGTTAGATGACCCCCCTGAGCTGAAGTGTTTTGTGAACAGGTGGGCAGCCCGGCAGTCGCCACGATATTCGGATAGCCACAGCTGACTGGGGCTCACCCGTGACCACTCACTTGGTCGGCATAGCAGTGTGGCCGGGAAGAAAAGATTCCTTTTCAGACGGAACTTGGTTCTTCTACAGTGCAGCGGTACCAGGTCGACCCAACGTGAACCTCTGGGCAGAGGTCGGTTGCATCAGGAGGCAAATGTGCGCACCAGAGACTGACTCTGTCCTCCATTTTGTTACAAAATCTCCATGTTGTCCCTCATTTTTCCCCCTTTCCTCTCTGTTAATCCACAGGGACATATGTGTGTTGGAAGGGTCACAGGCAGGCTAGAGCACGGCAGGGAGCCCAGAGCTATAAAACACCTCTCTGAGCAAGGTGCCTAGGTGTCTGAGCAACCTGTGCCATTTAACACCTCGTAAAAAGATAAGAGAGCCTTCCCAGGAGTTCAAGGCATTCCAATGAAGCAGGAACCAGATAAACACTTTTCAAAATCCATTTTTCCCCTATGTCTCATATCTTGGCATATGAGAGACTTACATAAAAACCAGACATATCGTCAGATTGGCTAAGAGGAGCCGAACAGTTTGATAGGTCACTCACCTTGTCTTGAATACATAGAAAAGCAGAAAAATAGATCTTGTGAACCATTTAGTGTAGAATTTCATAATTCATATCTAATCAATCCTCAGACGTGTCTGCATAATAATCTACCCGCGGGTGGAGTTTCACTTGTGCATAGGAAAAGTTATAAGCCAAAATATTAACTACACAAGATTTTGGCTCTAGTTTAGGTCCACACCCAGACCTCCACGCCCTAAACGGGTATTGGTCCTTGACTTCAGAGACACCCCCTGCTGGGGAACTACAAATTGGGCTGTCAGGCCTAAGAAAAAAAAGTTGAAGACGTCTCCCATTTTAACATCAATACCACCTGGGGAGACCCTTGCCCTTTTGCTCGGAAACTTGGATCTGCTTGGATCTGCTAACCCAGGACTTTGGCAAGTACCTTAACCCTTTCACCTCTCTCTGATATCTCTTTGCTGTGCTGTTGGTCTCTGTATATTTATATATATATCTTAGTTACATCTTTTTCTCTAAATCTTTTTATTGCACCCGTTTGACCTTTTTGTAATAAATCTTTCCTTCTGAAAGTGTTGAACTGTTTCTATAGCTCTGTATTGCAATTTACGAATTCCTGCCTCTAAAGAGAACGCTACTGTGCTTGTTTAACCCTCTGTATAACCGTGTTATACAGACGATTACCTCAACCATTATAGCGTTATAACTGATATCGCTGAGTTTCCTCTTTCTCTGTACAAAAAGGAGGTAGTAGCAGTGTGAAGGGTTAATTGCGTAATTAACCTGACCCAGTAACAATCGCTCAGGCTGCCGGTACATCGATTGTGGTCCAATTAGCTGGAAAATTGTTGTACAGGGTGCAGCTGGGTGTGGCATTGTTACGCACGTGACATCGCGGTTTTAGATTGGCTAGTCCTACAGTCACGAGTTTTGTGAGAAGGGCTTGGGTCTGACACCATGGTCATCACATATTGGTGACAGCGATCGTGGGATCGTCACATATCGGTTGCAGCGATCCCGCGTTCGTGACACCCCCCCCAGACAATTTGCATGCAAACCTATCACCGTTTCTGAATGTAAAACTTGTTTGGGTCTTACCCTCAGCATGGACATTACAAAAAAGAATGAATTGCAGTCATATTGGTCCACAGACCTAATTCATCATATGCCCGGGATCTCTGCTGTTACATATATGCCTAACATGGAACAGCAATGTACTAGTACGTTGCTGGACTTTGAGTGGTTATACCGCCAGCTGAAAAAACGATACCAGGATGATGCCTGTAGCTGCAGGCATCATCCTGGTATCATTTTTTTCAGCTGGTGGTCGGCTTTCATGTAAAAGAAATCCTAGTGGCCAATTAACTGCTAAATTGCTTTTATGAGCAGCGGAAGCAGCTGCCTTCCACAGTTTTCTTGAGCTCTCCTGTCCCACAGGGAATCAGAGAATGCAGCCGGCAGTACCGCTGGCTGACCATAGAGCTGATCACAGACCAGAATGGCTCCAATCATCTCTACAGTCTAAGAAATTGGAAGCTACAAGCATTTAATCACTTCAGTTTTGCAGGATATAAACAGAGACTGTAAATTTGTGAAAGCATCTGATCACACCAATCTTGGTGAGATCAGATGATGCCCCTTAGGCAGAGGAGATATCTAATAGACCCCAGATTTCTCAAAAAATAATACCTGTCAATGCCTATTGTAGACACAGGGGATATTTCATTATCTGTGATAGCAATAAAGTGATATAAAAAAAAAAAAGGGACAGTGCACAAGCGTTGACCCTGTGCCACTACGTAACAGCAGTTGCACCATGCATGTGAGGTATCGCCGCTAACGTCAGATCAAGGGTAGTAATTCTAGCACTAGACCTCCTGTGTAAATATAAATTGGTGACCTGTAAAAGCTGTTAAAACATTGCCCATTGATAATAAAAATGTATGTACTTTGTTGCCATTGCACAGGCAAAATCGCTGAGCAAATCTGTGACGTAAAAAAATTCAACACTCACTGTTTTATGCTCAAGGGCCTCTGCTTTAAAAAATATATATATAACGTTTGGGGGTTCAAAGTCGTTTTCTAGCAAAAAAAAACTTTTTTCGTATGAACAGAAAGTGTCAGAAAAGGCTTGGTCTTCAAGAGTGGGTGATGTATGTCATAAGCTTCTAATATTTGCCCTGAAATGCTAGGATAGTAGAAGAAACCCCTCCAAATGACCCGATTTTGGACTCTCCAAGGTATTTGCTAAGAGACATGGTGAGTATTTTGCAGATCTCATTTGTTGCCACTTTTTTGGAAAATGAAGAAAGAAAACAAAAATGTATATTTTCCTTTTTCAAAACCCTGTGACAAAAATGATATCTGTAAAATACTCACCAAGCTTCTTATCAAATTCCTTGGGCTGTCTACTGACATGGAAATTTTGTATTTACAGGTTGAACTTTAAATGTGTCATATATTAGTGTTATTCATATGTCTCTCGTGTGGCTTAATTAAAGCTCTGAAGGCTGCAATTGGGCCATGCGCATTTACAATGTATGTATTACAGTACTCAGCTCGGTAATGGATGAGATGGCAGATCTGCGCTTATAGACCGCCGTGTATACCACCACGGCATTCGATGTGAATGCCGCCGGCGGTAAGCCGTGGGCCTGTATCCACATATCAGCAGCATAGTACCACATGGACTTCGTATCGCCAGGCGCCAAGCAGTGCGAACTCCGCGTGTAGGCTCATGTATATCTTACAAGCCATTACCGACCTGAACTGTATCTGGATGGATGTGTTTTAATAAAGATTGTATCGGGCCCATTCAGATACAGACTGACACTGTTTAATCTAGGGGGATGCTTTTACAGAGAATGGACATACTGCTAGGAGCTGATAGGATAGGGGGAAGTTTACTCTCCTCAGAGAGCTCACCAATCGGAACGGGGGAGGGGAGAACTGGTTTCCAGTATAGATAAAAGGAAAGGCTATGCCTCCAATCAGGATGTACATTCTGTGTATAGACACTCCCCATGCATTGTTCTGTGGGAGGGGATTGACCTGGCTCATGTGGGGGGTGTGTGTGTGTTTGTAATAAAACCGGAGGCTGAGAATGAAAGCGCTCTCTATGTGAATTCCAACAGCAACCTGAGAGTGTCGTGTGATCATTCCTAGGTAACTGGAGCTCCATTTTCCCCACATCTCGAGATAGCTAAACCAGTTGGAGGCGCAGGAATCGTGGAGTTTAGCTGAAGTTGCAGTAAGCGAGATTCGCACAGCTTTATGGGGGATTTCTGCGCATCCAACTGCGAGTACTCATGGTAAGGAGAAATTCGTTAAAAGCGAATTTCCAAGACACTACTTTCCAAAAAGGGGTAATTTGAGGGGGTGTTTGTACTATTCTGGCATGTTAGGGCCTCCGAAAATGTGATAAGTAGCGGGGAAGTGAATTGAGGAAATATGCCTTTTGAAAGCCTGGAGGTGTTCATTGGATTTTGGGGGCCTGTATGTACCGTATTTGTCGCTCCATAAGACGCAATTTCCCCCTCCCCAAAAAATGGGGGGAAATGTCTGTGCGTCTTAAGGAGCAAATATGGAGCGGTCGGCCTGGTATTCCCACCAAAGCAGTGTAAGAATACTGGGCCGCCGCTCAGCTCTACTGTGCAGAAGAACCTGCTCCTCGGTCCAGTGGTGTCCTACTTTCAGCGGCCATCTTCTCTCCCCGGCGCCAGAATCTTCAGTGTGGGCACCCAGCTGTGAGAGCTTGTGGATTCACAGCCAGGTGCCCACTGCGAGAAGCACTGCGCTTTGGAATGGCTACCTGTAGTCTTCTGGGACCTGTCACCTGTCCCACAAGACTACAGGGAGGACAACTCCACGGAAGTGGGAGCGGGTACCTGTCAAATTTGGGTACCCGCTTCCCACAGATCTGCAGTCTCTGGTCATCTCCTGTACTGTGTCCGCAGTCTCTGGTCATCTCCTGTACTGTGTCCGCAGTCTCTGGTCATCTCCTGTACTGTGTCCGCAGTCTCTGGTCATCTCCTGTACTGTGTCCGCAGTCTCTGGCCATCTCCTGTACTGTGTCCGCAGTCTCTGGTCATCTCCTGTACTGTGTCCGCAGTCTCTGGTCATCTCCTGTACTGTGTCCGCAGTCTTTGGTCATCTCCTGTAGTACGTCCGCAGTCTCTGGTCATCTCCTGTAGTACGTCCGCAGTCTCTGGTCATCTCCTGTAGTACGTCCGCAGTCTCTGGTCATCTCCTGTAGTATGTCCACAGTCTCTGGTCATCTCCTGTAGTACGTCCGCAGTCTCTGGTCATCTCCTGTACTATGTCTGCAGTCTCTGGTCATCTCCTGTACTATGTTCGTAGTCTCTGGTCATCTCTTGTACTATGTCTGCAGTCAACTGGTTCAGAATATTTGTTTTTCTCCTCTAAAATGGCCTGGTCATTAAGGGGGGAAAATCCTCTGGAGGGCAAGTGGTTAATTTCTGAACCTATTAGTTTTGGTTTCTTTGTATGTATGGATTGCATGGGTTCTTACCAACATGTGGTGAAAATTTCATGTCAATAGCACCTTACTGTAAGGGCTCATGTACACTGCAGGTCCTAAACTGACATTCAGGAGCTGTTCAGCTTACAGTCGTTTACAGGCACTTTAGTTTACAGTCGGTTTTTTTGAATGCACCAAACTTGCGTTCAGGAGTAGATTTTACCGGCATTTCAAACGCCAAACGCTTGTAAATGCGGTTAACAGCGTTTGCGTTTAGAAGCGTTTTTTTTAACTTTCAGGTCCAGATGCTGTCCAGAGCCTTTTTTTATCATCAGAAATGCATGCAAAGTGTTTTCCATGTATTCAAATAGACCTAGTACACCAGCACAGTCAGTTCCAGGTTTCATGTGAAGGAAAAAATGGTAGAACGTGCTACATTATGCTCATGATGGGATACATAGTGAATACAACCAGAAAAGATAAGTAATCCCAACACATACTGATCTCTCTGCTTCTGCTGTCTCTACTTCTCTCAAAATGTCTGAAATAGTTACTATTTTTTAGTGCATTCAGGAAGGTCTCCTGAGGTTATCTTTTAAAAACGCTTCTAAATGCAAACGCACATAAACACGGTATGCAAATGCAGCTAAACTGACGTTTTTTAACCTACGTTTTCCAGCAGTTAGTTTCCATTGTTCAGAAGAGTTTTCCAAATGCCCTGTGTAAATGAGCCCTTAGAAATATATTTACCGAGAAAAATGGTGCCGTATTCAATACATTTTACCCGCTGAATAAATTACACCCTATTAGCACCTCATGGTACATAAGAAACTTTACTACTAACCAGCTGTGCACAATTCTTTTTTGCAAATTCTTTATCCAAGGTATCCAAACAAATACAGTAGCAAAAGGAAAATAAAAACAGCAATAGAAGTCTCTGAACACATACAACCAAGGGGAGATGAAGAATATTGAGAGTATATACAATATATAAAATACAAAATATGGAATCATCAAACACCAAGTATTGTAGACCAGTGAGGCGGCGATGTCTGGAGAGTGCCGGTTCCATAAAAAGAACAGACCCCAAGCAGACTGCAAAAGTTCAGCTATTGGCCATTTCCAGCATCAACACCACCAAGATCTGGAGGGCAAACGTAATCTGTTTTAATATGATCGGTGAACATATAGGCTGTTTTTTTTGTTTTTGATACCTTGTTTTCTACAAGAGAAAGTGGGAAGAGTAGAGCAGAAAGATAAAAAGAGTGAGAGAAATGGAGAGAAGAGAGAAAAAAAAAATTGTGGGAAGGGATTCACACCTGAGGCCAAGTGGGTGAGTGGGGGGAGCAGCTAAGACGGTTTAATCTCCAGGACAGGGTACCACAAGTGTCTTGCCTTCCTCAGAATGAACAAACTGATTCCAGTAGAATCAAGTCTTTGTATCTTGTTCCCGTTTATTTTAAGCGGTTAGTATCAGGTCCTACAGAGTATTAACATCCTCAACCTTATTGAGCCACATTGAAATGGAGGGAGGGGTTGGATCTTTCCATTTTAAAGTAATGCAGGCTTTGGCAGTGTTAAGCAAGTAACGAAGGACAAATTTTTTGTATGTCTTTGCAGGAAATTGAGAGCAGTGGAGGAGGAAGGGTCACCTGGAACCGAGAGATTAGTGAATATTTGAGCAATTCTGCAGATTTCTTTCCAGTAGCAATCTAATTTTGGGTAGGACCAGAAAATATGTAGCGATATCCCCTTTTCCTCCTGGCATCTCCAGCAACAATCCGAGGTCTCAGGGAAAAAATAAAGTAATGTAGCCGGGGGTAATACCATTGAGTGAGCAGCTTATAATTTGTCTTTTGTATACAGCTACAGAGGACTTCAGGGTAAAGAGGATAATATTCCAGCATTGGTCAGGTGTAAAGGTTTGATGGAGATCTAGCACCCATTTGTCTAGACAGGGTATTGTAAAGCCATCTGGCGGGAAGATCAGTAGAGAATACATTTTCGAAAGAGTACGGGGAAGAACGCCACTATCTGAACAGTAGGATTCAAACATCAGTGGACAGTTGAATTGTGCCAGAGGGCCAACAGTGTGAAAGAAATGGTGTAGTTGCAGTACACTCCAGAAGGTCAGGCCATAAGGGCCTACCGGGTTCATCAGTGTCAAAATAGAGGGCCAGGCATTTGAAGATATAAAGTGTGAAGCTTGGAAAAAGCCCCTCCCAATGAGCTCTCAAAACGAGGTTCCATCCAGACCTGCTTGGAAGCCAGGGTTGCCCAGAACAGGGAATAGTGGGGACAGGCCCAAAAATATCACGGGATTGCGACAGGCTAGGTAGCAGATGCGAAGTGTGAGGACTATGGTCGGGGTGCGTCTTAAGAGAGGTTGGTAGAGCAACATAACACCATGGGGCCCTATTAGGGGGCTCAATGTGCATCCACAATTTGAGGTCACTGTGTCTGCACCAATCAATCACCCTCCCATGGTGTGCTGCCTGATAGTATTTAGCACATTTTTTTACAAAGGATGAGGGAATATGAATAGGTAAAGCCTGGAAGAGGTACAAGGACTTGGGCAAGATAGTCATCTTTAAGATGTTGCAGCCACCAAACCAAGAGTGTAGATCTAAGTTCCATTTATCCAGCAGGGTACGGACTTTACTGAGCAAAGTCAGGAAGTTGAGCAAGAACGTATTAGTGAGGACTTGTGGAATGTAAGTGCCCAGATACTTCCGAGCTGAGGAAATCTACTTCAGGTGAAAATTGGCTCGTAAAGTATGCAACAAAAACTCCCATGGCTTCCGATTTGTTGAAATTAATTTTTAAGTTGGAAAGAGCATCGTAGCTCCTGAATTCATCAAAAAGGATTGGTAAGGAGGTATGAGGGTAGGTTAGAGAAAATAATATATCATCAGCATAAGTGGAAACCTTGTAGTGAGAGGGTCAGACCTGTATACCCTTAATAGCATTGTTTGATCTAACTTTAGGAAGGGTTCAAGGGTAAGGGTAAGGGCAAATAATGAGGAGAGAAGGCAGCCCTGCTAAGTTCCATTAGATATAACAAAGGGTTTTGAGAATACCCCATTTGCCTTAACTGAAGCCTTCGGGTAGTATAGACACTGGATATCCACTGTATGAACCCCATATGACGCAGGACTGCAAACATTAACTCCAAATTCACCCTGTCAAAGGCTTTTTCCACGTCTGTACTCAAGAAGACGCAGAGGGTTTTATTATGATTAGCCAAATGAACTAAATTAAAAAAGGACCTTAATGGTGTTGTCCCGTGCTTCCCTCATAGGGATAAAGCCTACCTGGGTCAAATGGACTAGTTTAGGCAGGTGTGGTTGGATGCGGGAGGCTAGAAGTTTTTGGTAAACAGTTTCAAGTCAATGTTAAGTAGCAAGATCGGCCGATAGCTATTACAAGACGCGGGGTCTTTATCTGCCTTGGAGATCACAGAAATATGAGCTTGAAGGACTCTCGATGGTAGGCAAGAGGATTGACCTAAGGTGTTAAACATCTTAACCATATAAGGCCCTAACAGGGGAAAGAGAGCTTTGTAATATTGTATAGTGAAACCATCTGGGCCCGCTGACTTCCTCAATTTAGTAGCGCCAACTTGAACCTCCTCTAGTTTAATTGGGGCCTCAAGATCACGTTGTATTGGAGAGGAAAGACGCGGAAGTGGTGCCGAAATGAGGTAGTCAGCAAGGGATGAAGGTGAAGAAGAGGTAGTCGAGAGATTGTACAGGGATGGATAATATTCGCCACATGCTTGAGCTATTGCCTATGGTAGGGTGTGTTTCTGACCATCTGATCCAATAATATGTGGGATATATGTTGCTGACTGGCGGTCTTGTAAGGTCTGGCTAGTAGTCATCTACACTTGTCCCCAGATTCATAGTAGAGCTCCTTACAAGTCTGAAAGGCTGCTTTGGCCTTGAATCTCAAAAGGTCAGATACCTGTCGGCAAAGCTGTGTCTGTCAGGTCTTGGTCCATTCAGGAAGTGGGCGCCCACTTGTTCTGTAGTTCAAGGATGTCGGAGAGCAGGTTCATTAGTTTAACTCCCCGCACTCATTTAATACGTGCACCGTGTTTAATCAAAATCCCTCGTATAACAGCTGTATTCATTTCCCAGACTATACTCAAGTCACTGCCAGGGGTGTTGTTGGTCTGGAAATAAGCGATCAGTTCTTTAGAGACATCCACAAAGACCTCAGGGTCTTGTAATAGACTCTCGTTCAGGTGCCATTTTTAGTCCGGAGAAGAAGAAGTATCTGTGTGAGTGAGAAACGCAAGATGACAGCAGCATGGTCTGATCAAGTAATGTTCCAATCTTAACGTCAACGATAGCAGAGAGAAGCTGATGAGGAACATAAAACAAGTCAATACGAGAATAGGACTGGTATTGGTGAGGAATAGCAAGTGTAGTCTCGTACCCCGGGGTGCAGCAAGCGACAGGCGTCAATAAGCTGAGATTTGTGAAGCACTCGTAGGATGCATTTTCTGGAGCCAGGTAGGAATGAACAAGTGCCCGTGGAGGTGTCCAAGCTGGTGTGCAAAAGGGACATTAAAGTCTTCACCCAGAAACAACCTGCCCTCTGCAAACTCCTTAAGCACCAAGATAGTAGTACAAATAAGAGTCTTGCTGTAGATTTGGAGTGTAAATGTTAGCCAACGTCAACTTAACACCTTCAATACAGCTTTTAACAAAGGGGTAACACCCATGGGAGTCGGAGCGTATGTTTATTAGTGTCCACAGTACCGGTCTAAAAATCAGTATCGAAACCCCTTTGGATTTAGCTTCCCGATTAGAGGCTATCTAATGTTTAGAGATTCTACTCTAAACAGAGTAGAACCTGTTCTGGAGGAAAGTGAGTTTACCCTTCCTAAAATGAGTTTCTTGTACAAATGCCACATCAGAATGCAGGCGTTTCAGAT